ATATGTATTTATACACTTTACTGGTTTTGTTTCTCTAGAGAACCCAGCCTAAGACAAGGGGTTATTGTATTTATTTTTTATTTGTATAATTGTTTGCTGGGACCTATTTTTTTGTTTCAGTGATTCCTGGCAGATGTGGCTGGAGTGGTGCTCTTGTCGCTGGACTGGCCATGCTGGAGCACTCCCTACCTGTCTTTGGGTGAATGGAGTGACAGGTAGGTGTGGGAGCTTGGCTCTCTGTTTACTGATCTTGCGGGGCAGCTGAGGGTGGGTTGGTTGGGCTTTGGCCTCTGTCTTCTTTGGTTCGGTGGCTCAGGAACAGGGAATGGTGCTCTCCATGCAGGTGGAGCAGCCAATGTAGTGGGTGTGGTGGGCGAGTGGGGGTGTGCTCATCACCTCTCACTAGTTGGGGGGAGGTGTGGGTAATAGACGGAGGGCAGCAGACAGATGTTCACACACTCTACCTCCATCTCCTCCTGGGCAGGGGGAGGGTGGAAGGAATGACAGGCTCAGTCTCTCTCACTGCATCTGTCTGTCGGTGGCGGGAAGAGGGAGGAAGGTGCAGAGGGTAGGTACACCGCACTCACTCATCTTCCACCCTACGCTAGGCACGGGGAGGGAGGAAAGGGCCTCAGGGGGGACTTGCATGCAGTCGCATCTCCTCTGCTCCTCGACGGGTGGGTTAAAGGATGGAGTCGAGTCTGGTGGATGGCACACAGAGGTGCTGCCTTGCATCAGGCAAGGCAAGGGAGGAAGGGGCTCCAGGGGGATGTGTGCACAGTCATGGCTCCCCTGCCCCTCGCTGGGTGGGTTAAGGGAGAGAGTTGCACCTGGCAAAGGTGAACACAGTGGTGCCACCCCAAGTCAGTCAGGGGGACGGAGGAAGGGGCTAACGGGGGGGGGGGTGCGCACACTGCTAGGCAGATTAAGGGATGGAGTCACACCTGGCAGATGCATACACAGAAGTGCTGCCTCGTGCCAGATGGGGGGAAGAGGGAGGGAGAGGTGGGTGAGCTCTCTCACAGTCCTGCTGCCGCTGCCCTCCACTGGGCCCTTGCTGGGGGAGTAGGTGGCAGGGAGGCACACACACAGGGGCGCACCTAGTCTCACTTGTCAGGTAGGCAAGGGGGTGTAGTGGATGGGCTTGGGTGGGGTAGGGGGGAAGAGAGTAGGCTTGTGTTGTGGTCCTCCAGTCAGGCAAGGCAGTCAGGGTTTGGGACCCTCTACCACCTCTGATCAGGTGGATGGGTTGAGGGGGAGTGTGTTCCTCCAGCTAGGATACACGGATGCCAGGGCACCTCGCGTCCGCTGCAGCCAGTGAGCAGGACCTGTCCTCTCTCAAGTGTGAGGAGTGGGGCCGCCCAGGGACCAGTTGGGTGGGAGAGCTCCCACGGTCACTCCGCGGGTCCACTGCCCCATGTGCGCCACTCACCCCCGAAGTCAAGAGCTGTCACTCCTGAGTATCTCCAGTTCTGGATCTGTCACTCTCCCTGTCTCTGCTTCTTTCTGTGTGTCTGTAGAGGTTCTCTGTCCCTTTTGGGAAAGTTGTGAAGTTGCCTTGCTGTTTTCTTCACCCAGGGTCGCCGCTGGCCTTGTCCTAAGTTAGCCACAGCTGGCCGGGGCAGCTGGCTATTACTCCTCTTTCATTGCTTTGCTTATTCCTTCTAATCAGTGTGCGGTTCAGTTCTTAGACTTTCTTTTTTGATGTTCAGGGTTCCTGGACTGTTATCTGCTCCTGTTTCACTTGGTTTTTTAGGTCTTTGGTGCAGGGGGACGTTATGGTGTGTGTGGCTAAGCTGCCCTTTTTGCTGCACCCCCTGGCCTTCTTTAATACCTTTTGAAAGTTGTCTTTATTGTTGTTGTTAGTTGCCATCCAGTCAGCTCCAACTCATGGCAACACCATATACAACAGAGGGAAACGCTACCTAGTCCTGTGCCATCTTCACAATTGTCGGTATGTCTGAGTCCATTGTTGTGGCCACTGTATTTTGGAAGCAGATTGCCAGGCCTTTCTTCTGAGGCACTTCTAGGTGGATTCAAACTGCCAACATTTCAGTTAGTAGCCAAGCACTTAACTGTTTATGCCACTCAGGGACTCATATGGCCGCTGTATTTTGAGCGCCTTCCTAGGGGGCTCATCTTGCAGCACTATATTGGACAATAGTCTATTGTGATCCATAGGGTTTTCTTGGCTCATTTTCAGAAGTAGAGTACCACGCCTTTCTTCCTAGTCTGTCTTAGTGTAGATGCTTCACTGAAACCTATCCACCGTGGGTGATCCTGCTGGTATTTGAAATACCAGTGGCATAGCTTCCAGCATTACAGAACACTCAAGTCACCACAATACAACAAACTGACAGACGAGTGGTAGGTCTTTGTATTAGTTTAATCATTTAATACAGTAGTTTTCATGTCATGCAGACCACATCACCTTTCTGTCCCAACAGCACTTCAGATATGTAGCATTACCTTCCAGTCATGACCCTTTGACCAGGGTCAAATTTGGATAAAAGTGATTCATGATTCCAGAGACCGTGGACCCCAGACACCCTGCTAACTCAGAACTGAAGCCACTCCTGAAGTTGACCTTTCAGCCAAAGATTAAACAGGCCTATAAAACAAACAATAACACACTTGAGGAACGTGCTTCTTACCTCAATCAAGTATATGAGACCAAATGGGCAATAACTGCCCAAAAGCAAAGGCGAGAAGGCAGGAAGGGACAGGAAAACTGGGCACATGGACACGGAGAACCCAGCGTGGAAAGGGAAAGGGGGAGAGTGCTGACACATTGCAGGGACTGCAACCAACATCACAAAACAATTTGTGTATAAATTTTTTAATGAAAAACTAATTTGCACTGTAAAATTTCACCTAAAACACAATAAAATTTTTTAAAAAGTGAATCATGAGTCTGAAAGAAATGCATGATCTAAAGCTTGAAGCAGGTGAAGAGCAAGCTTAGAACTGAGGGGTGATGGAACTGAGGGGAGGGCACTTGGTGCGCACAGCCTGTTTTGAACCTGAAAGATGATCTCAGAAACTACGCTGTTGTTCGTGTTACTTTTTGTTAAATGGAAGAGAGGAGGGAGAGGTGTAAAGTTAGGTCATTGGGGAGGAGGTAGCACAGGAAAGGAGCCCTGCTGTCAACAAATGGTTAAGCACTCAGCTGCTAACGGAAATATTGGCGGTTGGAGCCCACCCAGCGGCTCTATGAGAGAAAGACCTGGCGATTGGCTTCTGTAAAGATTATAGCCAAGAAAACCCTACGGGGCAGTTCTACTCTGTCACATGGGATTGCCGTATGTCAGAATCAACTTGACGGCACCTAACAACAACAGTATGTGAAAAAAGATAGGAGAAATACCTTAGTTCCGTAAATCCAGAAATGTCCGTAAATCCATCATCCTCCCCCAAGTTCAGGCAATTTTACCCCAGAAATGACTCTTCAGTCTGCCCCTCTTTTTACTCCCACACTAGCTCTGTAGCTCAAGTGTTCATCATCTCCCCTTGACTAGCTTATCTACAGATAACTCCTCTCCCTGCTCCTAATCTTGCCCCACTCCCTCCACCCTCCACTTTGCCCAGAATTATCTTCCTAAAAGAATAAATCTCACATCCCTGTTTTAAAAAAGTGCTACTGGTTCCATGTGTCCTGAGCATACCTCATTCCTTCACCTGCTATACAAAATTCTTCACAACCTGTTCCAGTCTTCCTCTCCAGCCTCATCTCTCCTGCCGCCTAACCCCACAAACACTTCAGAATAGGATATGCCTTTGGTCCTTGCCTTCTTCTCTCTCTTTGGAATATCCTTTCCTAATTTCTGCCCATCCTCAAGATTGTCTTCAAACGTCCCCTCCTCTGGACAGCCTGCACGCCCTTCACCCTCCTCCAGGCCAGATACTGTTACTTTGTCTTTTGAGTCATACCTCCATTATAGCATTCCCGGGATCATAATACCTGTTGATGTGTCTCTTCCACTACACTAGGAAGGCAGGGGCCATGTTAATTCATGCCTGGGTTCCCACCGCCTAGCAACAGGGACTGGCACAAAGTAGGATGATGGATGGATGGGTGGGTGAAGGGGTAGGTGTAGATGGGTAATCCGAGAAATTAGGAAAAGGAAGCCCGCAAAGAGCAAAGACAGACACCAGGGGGAGCTGAGACACCACAATAAAGAAGCCGGAGGGCGGGTCAAAAAAGGCTGCACGCTCGGGGGAGAGCGGGTGAGCGGCGCGCAGTAAAGCAAGTAACAGGCAACTGTAACCGCTCACCCACCCACGTGTGCGCCCCCCATCCTCCTTCCCACGTCGTGCTTCGGCTCGTTCTACCGCCTCCACCACCCACCTCACCTCCACGGCCGCTAAAAAAGCAAACAAAGGGGAGGGGACCCCCGCAGGGTCCGGATGCCGGAAGCCAATCAGAGGGCTCTAATTTTCTGGAAGGCGGGAACCTTCGTTTAGGGGATCCCAATCAGTTTCTAAGGGAATGTGGAGGGGCGGGGAGATGGGCGGGAAGAGCGCGAGGCGGGGTTAGGAACGGCGCCGGCCGGGGAGAGTTCCCTGGGGAGTGGAGGACGCGGCGCGGGCGGACCCAATCATCGCGCATGTCTGTGGGGAGAGGGCGGGCAGCGCCGCTGAGCGCGCGATCCAGGCTGACGCATCTGGCTTCAGTTCCACGAGGAGGGGCCAAAGGGGAGGAGGGAAGAGGAGAAAGAGCGGAGGGCGCGCGTGCGCAGTGGCGCGGGGAGGAGCAGGGACCTGGCAGCGGGCGAGGAGGTTGCGAGCGAGCCGCGAACCGGGCGGGCTGCGGGCGGCGGGCGCGCGCACCATGGGGGAGAAACCCGGGACCAGGTAAGGGAGGTGGGGCCACGCGGCGGGGCATGGGCGGTGGCTCGGGGCGGGCGCGGAGATGGTCCTCAGACAAGGGCACTGGAGAGAGAATCCGTGGGGCCGGACGCCTGGGTCCCTAGGGGGCAGCCATCCGGGGCCGCACGCCTAGGTCCTCGAGGATAATGGGGGCGCATGCCCGGGCCCCTGCAGGAAGCGAGGACTGAAGGGGACCAGGGAACTGGTGTCTGGGTTCTCGCAGGGATATGGGAGCCGAACGCCTGGGTTCTCCCGTGCAGGCTGCGATGCAGGAGCGGAGGAAGGAGGAGCAGGTGGCCAGCCCTGAGGGATCGTATTTGGGAAGGCTGGACGTTGGGAGGGGTGCCCCGCAGACTCGTGCCGAGCCAATAGAAAGGTTCGCGTCCAATACCCCACAGGCAGTTGTGCTGCCCCCACCTGTCCCGAGGGACGGGTGATTCCGCTTTCAAACTTCTGCCTTCCCTGGGTTGCTAGGAGCAACAGCTTCATCTTGGGGGAGCAGAGTGCGTGGCGACCCTCCCAGATTCTGGGCCCTACACCTCAGCCCCCGCCTGGGGGTGGGCAGTGTCTGCCCTGGGCACACCATCCACTCCCCGGATGTTTTCTGTGCAATCGAAGCGCCTTCCTTCTACTGACATCCCGAGTTCTCTTTTTTAATCTCAAGCAAAATCCACTTCCTGTTGTGACCCAACATCCCCAAGAGGGCAGGGGGCGAATGCCTGAGTCCCTGGGGAACAGGAGCAAAAGAGGAAAGGTTGGAGCTGTGTATGTCTCAACCCAGAGGAGAGCAGGAATGCAGGCCTAGTCCTACCTAACCTGTCAACTTCTTCTGCAAAATGTTTTATCAGCCCCACAACTCCCCACTCATGGAGTATGAGAACCCAGGTTTCTGAGCGTCAAGTCCACCAATATTGGAGAGAGATGATCAGAGGAAGGGAGGACCGATGTCCTGGATAAGGGCATCCACAGACCATAGAAAAGGGAAGCTGCTGACTTGAGACAGGCCCCTGGTTTCCGTTATGTGGTTCAGGGACGGATGGACTACAGGGGGACTGCTGACTTGACACAATTACCCCAACCCCCAGCAAATTCTGGGCCGCAGGAAGTGGAGAGAATGGCAGGAAGTGTGAGGAGCATCTGCTTCTACTGCCCCCCCAACTCACTGGGCACCTCCCTGGTCACCCCACACCCCACCTCCTTGGCCAGCCTCAGTATACACACACCGCTCCTCCATAGCCTGGCAGGAGGTGGCTGGGTTAGGATCCAAAGGGCAGGTGCCCCGCAGCTACTCCCAGGCAACTGCTCCAGAGCCACACTCCAGTTGCCCTACTGGTTGTGGTTGTCACAGCCCTCTGCCAGGGCTCCTAATGGGAGGAAACGCTTGAACAAAAAGAGAAACCAGAAGCAACTAAGGTCAAAGGGGAGGGACAGCCTGGATGATGCCATAGCAGTCAGCCCCAAAATTGGGACAAGAGATAGGGGTGCCCATCATAGCTGCCACCACATCGATGCTTTATTCTCCTGGATTGGTTGGAGGTACCTGTGGCCTCCATACGCTTACAGTTTGGGCAACTCAGCCTTTTGGGGAAGAAGGGCCAAGTGAAGTTGTTATAGCAGAAACTGGGGCAGTGGGGTTGGAGGAGGGATGGACCAGTTGGCAGAATTTCAGTTTCTGCTATCTCGGGGCCCTTCCCAGGGATTGCTGCTGAGGCTCAGTGGATTGGGAGGAGTAAGGCAGTCAGGCAAAAAACAGGCCCACAAGTGCCAGAGCCAGACTTCCCTACCCTCCCAGCAAGGGCTGGAGTCCAGGCTTACATTGTTTCAGCACCTGGGAAGCAAATCTCATTCAGTCCAACAAATGATTAATGCTAGTTACAGAAGCAGGGTAGTGTAGGAGTTGATTGATCAAGAGCATGGACTTGGAGCCAGACTGCCTCGGTTTGTATCTGAGTTCCACCATTTATACTTTGTGATTTAGGTAAAACAGCTGACTGTTCTGTGCCTCAGTTTCCTTACCTGTAAAATAGGGATATTAGGATCTTCATCACTGGGTTGTTGAGAGTATTAAATGAGATGAACACATCTATGTTAATAAATGTTACCCAGCATCGTCAACTTCATCGTATGGCTGGCATTGTGCTGGGGATGCCTCAGTGAATAAGGTGGGGCCCTAGTGCTCACAGTCTATCTCATGAGAGACAGATGAGGCCCAGCTAACTGCCCTTTGTGTGCTATCACGCTACAAGTAAAGCATAAACGAGGTGTGACAGGAATCCAAAAAATAGAGTGACCCGAGGTCTGGTCTGGGTTGCTTCCCAAAAGAGGTGACATCTGAGCTTGTTCTTGAAAGATGAACGAGCTTTTAAGCTGCTGAGATCAGAGATGGGGACAGTTGGAGGTTAATGGAATAGGGTCAGACTTGGGTGGTTCCTGTGGTAGAAGGCATTTTAAGGGCAAAGGCCAGAGCCATTGCTCTTCCAAGTTGGGGCTGTCGTTGGTGCTGGGACATCTGCCCCTTCCCTCATGAGCAAGCGGAGACCAGACAAAATGGAAAGAGGGTTAGGTCTTACTCAAACGCTGCTGCAACCTGCCCATTCAGGTCCTCTGCGAAAACCTGGGTGGTTCCTGTGGCAACCAGTGACCATTACCATGTAGGGAGAGGGGGCTACTGAGGATGGACCAAGGCTAAGAGAAGGGAGATTTGCCATGGTAACCTGCTTCAAGTGGCTGCCATGCTATAAGTATTAAGGAGTTATGATTGCCTTTCCTTCTGGGAATAACAGGAGTGGGTAGGGCTGGGCAAAGCCCCTGGGCAGGAATTCTAGGTGAGCTCTGCTTCCTGGGCTGGGGAGGGACAAAGTCCTGGTGTGGAGGTCCCTGCTGAGTCTGAGGGAGGCAGTGATGTTTTCCTTTGTTTTGTTAGGGTCTTCAAGAAGTCAAGCCCTAACTGCAAGGTGAGTCTCCCACATGTTTATCCTCCCGACCCTCCCTGGACCCTGACAAAGCCCAGCCTGCCCCTAGATGTTCCCCAACCCCTAGCTCCCCACTTCCTGTGACAGCTAACAGCCGACTTCCTTCCCTGCTCAGCCTGGGCTAGCTGCAGGGCTGGGTCAGGAGAGGCCTGGGTCCCTAAGCAAGACCAAAGAGGAGCCAACCCAGGTGCCTAAACCAAAAATAACCAAACCTGTTGCCATGGAGTGTGGAGTGGATTCCAACTCATAGTGACCCTATAGGACAGAGTAGAACTGCCCCATAGGGTTTCCAAGGAGTGGCTGGTGGATTCCAACTGCTGACCTTTTGGTTAGCAGCCGAGCTCTTAACCACTGCGCCACCAGGGCTCCCCCAGGCTGGGAAAAGTTAACAACCCCCCAGGCTATGATCTCTTTATCCCAGGCCCTTGAGGCCAACAGCTGCTGTCTAACTGGCTGCCCAGGGCTGAGGTTTCCCTGAGGACCCCCACACACCTGACTGGTGGGCAGAGGTGTGAAAGGAGATTAGGGAGCAGCTAAAGGTTGGGCAGTCTTGGGAACCCCACCAACCGGAGGAAAACAGGAGAAACTCCTTCCTGACACCCCAGCCTGGAAGACCTGGGGCAGGACAGCCACTTTTGAGGGCTCTGCTGTTTTGTCGCCCTCCTACCCAACCTTCCCTGTGACCTTCTGCACCCTCAGCTCACTGTGTACTTGGGCAAGCGGGACTTTGTAGACCACCTGGATAAAGTGGACCCTGTAGGTAAGTTTTCCCAGAAAGTGAAAACTCATCCCCTAAGAAGGGAAGCCCCTCTGGGGCCCAGGAATGGGGGAGTGGCTCTGGCGGGAAGTGAGCTCATGTGTCCCTTTCTAGATGGTGTGGTGCTTGTGGACCCTGACTACTTGAAGGACCGCAAAGGTACTGGCCCTAGATGCAGGGTCCCGAGGGAAGGCGGGAGGTGAAATGGGCTGCCACTGAGGGGGTGCCCTAGAGAGGTGGCGGGCTGAGGCGGAAGTGAAGAATAGGACTGAGGCAAGTGTTGGTCTCCCAAGGGTGGAGCAGCTGCAAGGTAATGAGGGGACAGGCAAGGGGGGTTTGTGACCTCCCCACTTTGCCCTCCCTTGCCAGTGTTTGTGACCCTCACCTGCGCTTTCCGCTATGGCCGTGAAGACCTGGATGTGCTGGGCTTGTCCTTCCGCAAAGACCTCTTCATCGCCACCTACCAGGCCTTCCCCCCAATGCCCAACCCACCCCGGCCCCCGACCCGCCTGCAGGACCGGCTGCTGAGGAAGCTGGGCCAGCATGCCCACCCCTTTTTTTTCACAGTGAGGATGCCCCCACCCTCTGCAGGGCAAGGGTCTGGATGTGTTTAGGGGCGAGGTGCCTGTCACAGACAGATCTGGAGGAACAGTGAGGCTGTGGCCTTGGCGTGACAGAGAGGAGACAGGGACCACCCGATCCCCCTGCCTTTAAGGTCCTCCTGCATTCAGGAAGCCCTCAGTCGCCTTGCTCCCTCCTCCGGGGCCCCCTCCTTCTGCCTTCCTCATCTCCAGGTGGAGACTGGGAGGAAGACTAGGGGGCTTTCCGGAAGGACTGAAGCCTTCCCTCCCGTCTGCCACAGATACCCCAGAATCTGCCTTGCTCTGTCACCCTGCAGCCAGGCCCAGAGGACACAGGGAAGGTAAGGGAGAAATGGCTCCAAGCTAGCAGGGAAGACAGGGCCCAGCAGCAGCAGCCTGGGAGCGCACTGAGAGGGAGGGCGGACTGTCAGGAGAGGCCCGGAGTATGGCCAAGGGCAGGGAAACGCCCCAGTGCAAGTAGGGCATGTGGTATGGCCACTGCTGAAGTAGAACGCTGCCTCCCGCTCTCCTGACCTGCATGTACCTGGGCATGGCGGCTCACCTACACTGCCAGCACTGACCCTCTGCCATGCCAACCCTCAGGGAGACAGAGGAAGAACAAGATTCAGTTCCCCTGCTCCTCAGACTATGAGGGGGCAAGAGTCCCTGCCCAAGATGAGGGAAGAGGGGAGGAAGAAAGGGCAGTGGTGGTGCCAAGGGCCTTGTGTAAGACATGGCCTTTTCTCCCCACCCCCCCTGCAAGGCCTGCGGGGTAGATTTTGAGATTCGAGCCTTCTGTGCCAAATCACTAGAAGAGAAAAGCCACAAAAGGTGAGGGACACAACCTCCTCTGTGGTTTAACCATCCCTCCCTGCTTCCATGAGCCCTAGGCCCTGTGGGAGGTGGGAGCAGGGATCTGGGTGTCTTGAGAACCAACCGACTGCTCCCCGCCTCACCCCTACCACCCCCCACCCCAGGAACTCTGTGCGGCTGGTGATCCGAAAGGTGCAGTTTGCCCCTGAGAAACCCGGCCCCCAGCCTTCAGCTGAAACCACACGCCACTTCCTCATGTCTGACCGGTCCCTGCACCTCGAGGCGTCCCTGGACAAGGAGGTGGGGTGCAAGAGGGTGACTCAGAGGCCACAGCGCAGACCAGACCCTGGGGGAAGGGGTGAAGCCACGTGCCAGGATGGCCTCTTTGAAGGAGGTTGCCCTAACTGGGTGTGGGGTCGCCGTGGCCTTGGATTCGGAGAGAGGAGGCAGACCATGTGTCTGCATTGGGGTCACACTAGTAACTAGACCCATGAAAACAAACCAGATTAACTGACTCTCTCCCCCTAAAGCTGTACTACCACGGGGAGCCCCTCAACGTCAATGTCCACGTCACCAACAACTCCACCAAGACCGTCAAGAAGATCAAAGTCTCTGGTAGGAAGTGGGGGTTGGGAAAGGGTCTTGGGGAAGGGAGTTATCGCAGAAGTGGCTCAGTTCAAGGACATGTTGGCCCACCAGCCCTTAAAGAATTTACATTGTTCCAGAATGATCTCTGGGGCCCCAGAGTTTACTGCTATGGAGAGGGCTGTACATAGATGTGGAGGGTGGTGTTGGGCTGGGGCCTGGGGTGACGCCAGGTGGGCTGGAGTTGTGCTCCATCCAGAGCTGCTGTGATGCCCCACCCCACAGTGAGACAGTACGCCGACATCTGCCTCTTCAGCACCGCCCAGTACAAGTGTCCTGTGGCTCAAATTGAACAAGAGTAAGTACCAGTACAGACCTGGATCTCAGTCTTGGGGAAGAGTAGGACCAGGGGAGAATTCTCCTGTACTGCTCCCAATTAAAGGGGCATTCCTTTCAAAATTGGGTAGCTCTGAGCTGTTCATTTTCTCAAGCAGACTGAAGCAAAACCTACTCCTTTGTGATGTGTACCCAAAAGAAGGGGCTAGTAACGTGGGAGATGCTGCTTGGTGGTGGTGGGCTTCCCCTTGCTCAGCATGGCCCTCCAAGAGTCTCTCATCCCCACCCCCAGTGACCAGGTATCCCCCAGTTCCACGTTCTGTAAGGTGTACACCATAACCCCGCTGCTCAGCGACAACCGGGAGAAGCGCGGCCTCGCCCTGGATGGGAAGCTCAAACACGAGGACACCAACCTGGCTTCCAGCACCATGTGAGAGGGGCCATGGGGGGGTCCCCTGCAGCCCAGGAAACAGACATTTGTCCAGCAAAGGTGCCCACTGTGCCAGGCTCTGTCCTAGGGGCCAAGGATGTATCAGTGGACAGAAGCAGAAGAGACAAAGCTCTCACATTCTAGTTGGGGGAAGACAGACAAATCCGATCATGAGGAAACTGTATAGTTTGTTCAGCGATAAGTGTCAAGGAGAAAAAGCAAAGCCAAGAAGGGAAATACAAAGTGTACATAAAGAGGGACAGAGTGTGTTGGAAGGCATAATACAGAGGTGAATTTGGAGTAAGAACCCAAAGGACTAAGCAGTGTGGATAGGCAGGGAAAGGGCTCCGGGAAGAGAGAATGCCAAGCACAGAGACCCAGAGGCGGGGCTGGGCCAGCTGTGTGAGAGGAGCCACGAGGGGGCCAGCAGAGCCACTGCCAGCCTACATGGTGCCACTGTGCCTGCGGCGGGGGTGACCCCTTACAGAGTAAGGGCTGGGCCTCTGTCCAGGGTACACACTGCACGACCACACAGCAGGCCTGGGGGCCAGTGTGACGAGAATGCACAAGGGGAAGAGGTGAGGGGAGAGGGCTGATGGAGAACAAGACAGCGGCAAGCACTTAGGCCACAGGGACTTCGGGTTTTACTGTGAGAGTGAGGGCGGGGAAGCCACAGGAGTGCTCTGACTGGGGGAATGAGGTGGCTACTTCACCATGAGAACAGCACAGCCTGTGCAGTACAGCCCCGGGCTGGTGGGAGGTTGCGGTTCTGCTCAGCACCCAGCGGAAGCTCCGAGGGTGGGACGGGGTACAGGGCAGTGGGTCCTACCCAACTCCCCACCCCGATTGCAGAGTGAAGGAGGGTGCCAACAAGGAGGTGCTGGGAATCCTGGTGTCCTACAGGGTCAAGGTGAAGCTGGTGGTGTCTCGAGGCGGGTGAGTGTGGTGGGGGACGGGTGGGACTGCACCGGTTCTCTCTGGTGCTGCGCCAGTGTCCTCTTCATGCCAGCTCTCCCCCTCCCCAGGGATGTCTCCGTGGAGCTGCCTTTTGTTCTTATGCACCCCAAGCCCCATGACCACATCATCACCCTCCCCAGACCCCAGTCAGGTAGGCATACTACCCCAAGCCGCCGAAGGGAGGGCACGAGAGGGCCAGTAGAGAAATGCTGGAACTTCCAGCACCCACCTACCCACCTCCTCTCCTCCCCCCAGCCGCTCCTGAAACAGATGTCCCTGTGGATACCAACCTCATTGAATTTGATACCAAGTAAGAAACTCATCCCTCCCCCACCTTCCTCCCTTTTACCCTCTTTGACAGATTCCTAGATTCGAATCTACCCTCAGGCCTCCTATTATTTGTTTTTGCGGGGAAGGGATGGTTGAAGCATCAAATCCAGATGCCTTGGCCTTGTGAGGCTGCCTAACACCGCCCCTCCTCTGTCCCTTCTTGCAAATATTTCCAATCCCATTGCTGTGCTAACACCCATCTCTGGGAGGGAAGCAGGAGGCAGAGAAAAGGGTCTGAAGGCCTTGCCTCACCCCCTCTTTTCTACCACCAAGCTATGCCACGGATGATGACATTGTGTTTGAGGACTTTGCCCGGCTTCGGCTGAAGGGGATGAAGGACGAGGACTATGACGACCAGTTCTGCTAGGAGGGGGGCTGGAAGGGAGTGGATGGTGCTGGGAGAGGTAGGGGCAGGCCCAAGATCCCCACTCTTGTTGTGGGGGATCCCAGCCTATCTTCCCTTCCTCTCCTTCCAGCAACTTCCTGAACCAACCCCTTCCTGCCTTCTCCCATCCCCTCAAATACGCACTGGACCCATCTCCTGTTGAAAGCGGGCATTAACTCCTTGGCTATAGCTGCACCTCCCCAACCTCCCAATGGGTGGGAAGCTGTGTTTGTACCTAAATGTTTTGGAAGCGGAGACACTGAAAAGAGTGATAGTTGGGAAAGGGGCAAGAAAGAACTCCCACGTTCCACCTTCTATCCCTACCTCCTGTCACTCTCTTGCCTCCCATTCCATTCAAGATGAGACCCGTTGGGGGGCTGGGCCATTTCTTTGTTTCTGAGCATAAAGAAGAAAATAAACCTTTTAATAGGCATGAGTGTGTGTGTTTTCTGTGCAGTTTAAGAAGTGTGTAGCGTGCTCGTCCGTGGTTCTGTTAGCCTGTGAACACCAACAGGGTGAGGACCCAGTCTCTTCTCTGCACCCTCGTTGCGCCTAGCACATAGGCTGCCAACAAATGTTTATTGAATGACTGTGCTGAACCTGTGTTCCAAGGTAAATACTGAAACTTGATTTGGTTTGGTAAAGCCACAAAGTAAACATTCATTTGTAGGGGAAAAAATAGCCAGCTGCCCTGCAGACTAGATGCTCTTGGGAGTTGGGCGGTGCAGGCTAGATACCTATGACCAAGGTACGACCTGGCTTCAACTTGTTTCTGCTGCTCCTTGTGTTTGCTCAAGCGGTCCATTCCTGGGCTCAGCGGGGCCACGTCTGTAGGCCTTATCAGACAGAGAAGCCACATGACATCTCCATAGAATCTGGGGCTTCCATCTAACACAGAAGCCAAGGCTTTGCGCAGCTGAAGAGAGTCGTGCTGTTGTGGGCCCAAGTCCTAGGAATGACATCCTAGTGCTGTGTCTCTGACTGGTGTTCTTCAGAGACTCCGAGGTTTGGCCAAGCCCCAGGCTGGGCTGGGGGAAGTGAGTGACTCCACTGACATTTCTTACCTCTACCGCCCACCCCGATTCCTGTAGCCCAACCTTGCTCTCTTTTTTTCTCTTAAGACTCATTCATTCATTCCATGAACATTTACTGAGTCCCAAGTATGTGCCAGGCATAGTCTAGGGACATAGCAGTGACCAAGACAAACATTAAAGTGTGTATCTGTGCTCCAAAGGAGAAGTACAGGACTATGAGAAAACATGACAGGGAGCTCTGACCTAGGCTGGGGTTTAGGGAAGACTTCCTGGAGAAAGTGACCTTTAAGCAGAGAACTGAGAGATGAGGAGGAGTAGGATACCACACTGGGGATAGGCATTCGGGGCGATGGCAATGCTGTGTGTGAAGGCAGGAAGGAACACAGCATATTTCGGGGACTGAAGAACAGAAAGGCCAGGGCAAAGATACTACTACTACTACTACCCCTTGCCGTCAAGTCGATTCTGACTCGGCAACCCTATAGGACAGAACGACCCCATAGAACTGCCCCACAGGGTTTCCAGGGCTGTAAATCCTTATAGAAGCAGACTGCCACGTTTTTCTCCTGTGGAGCAGCTGGTGGGTTCAAACCGCCAACCTGCAGGTTAGCAATTGAGCACTTAATCACTGCGCTATCAGGGCTCCTGAGGCAGAGATAACCCGGGGCAAAGTAGTTCCAGATGAGGCTGGTGAGGCAGACGGGGTCAGCTCATGCAGGCCTTCAGTCCATGTTACAGCTCATGACACCTAACTAAATCATTACTCACCCATAGGCTTTAAGCACTGCTAAAATGCCAATGACCTTGCTTATCCCTCCACCCTCCTGAGCCCCCTACTCCCCATGCACACCCCGGACTTGATCCCACGGAGGAACTTTCCCCTCTAAAACCTTTAGCTCCAGCATCCTTCTGACTCCCGTGAACCTGCTGCTTGACCTCTAAGCTCCTGGTCCATGGATCTCAAACTTTTCCAAGTGAATCAGAATCCTCTGGGAGCCATGATAAAGATACAGAGTCCCAAGCTCTATCTTCTGAGATTCTGATTCAGTAGGTCCCAGGAAGAATCCATGAATGTGAATCTGGATTTTTATTTATTTTTATTTTTATTGTTGTAGTTTAAGTGAAAGTTTACAATTCAAGTTAGTCTCTCATACAAAAATTTATACATACATTGTTATAAGACCCTAATTGCTCTCCCTATACTGTGACAGCACACTCCTCCTTTCCACCCCAGATTTCCCATGTCCATTCAACCAGCTCCTGACCCTCTCTGC